GGGATCCAAACCACTCGGGGTGAAATGGAGGGGACGGGGGGATCCAAACCACTCGGGGTGAAATGGAGGCAGAGGTATCCCAGCAGTTTTTTGGATCAGTTCTTTTCCAGGTGGGAGAATCCTGTCCTGGAGAGAGGGAGGGGAGGTGTCAGAAATTTGGGGAGGTGCTGCTGTGCAGACGAGGAGCAGGGAGAGCTGGAATAGGGGTCGGTGCCCACAGAGCCTTTCAGGGTCCCCTGTCAGCAGGCCCGGGGCCAGAAGTGGGCTGTGAATCAGGGCTGGCTCTGCCTGGTTTTGGGGGTTAATTGCCGAAGGCTCCTGAGCTAATTAGTGCCCGAGCTCGTTAGGCCTGGGCCGGGTGTGCTTCGCAGGGGATGGAGCCTCCAGGGTCCCTGGGCAAGCTCGGGGTGCTCCCGGAGCCCCAGGACCCCCTGGGCTCTGTGTCCATCCCCTGTCCTGCAGCATCCCTCTGTCCATTGTCCGGCTGTCCACGTGTCCGTCCCAGCTCTGGCAGCCTTTCACCCCCAAACCCCCTGTCCGACCGGCAGCCCTGCGCTGTGGGGCCGGGACGCTCCCAGTTTGCCAGGAAAAGGGACATTTTCTACCAATGCAGCCGAAATTACCGGGAAAAAGGGAAGTGTTCGGATACCCGCTGCCATCAAGTGGCTGAGGAGGAACCAGACCTGACCCTAGTCCTTTGTGGGATCGTTTTATTGGAATTCCACATCAACCCCCAAGAAAATCCGCTTTTTTCCAGTTATTAAAGGTCTCACACCCGCATTTGGGATGCAGAGCAAAGCTCTCCCTTAAGCATCCTAAGATATGCAGCTCCACTTCTTCTCTCCAAAGACCTGACCCAGCTCCAGGGAGATTTTCCCAAGCAGGGCTTGGATATGCACAGGTCAGCCCAGCTGTTTGAAGGTGAAAATGCAGGAAAAATAAAGAAAAAAGAAATGTTTCAACCCTGGTAGATTTGCCTGACCCGAGAAACTCCTTGTATAGGAGATTTCGGAAGCTGGGGGCTCCAACAGAGGAATTTCTGCAGATAATGCCATCCATAGCTGAATGATACGGGGTTGAATGTACCCCAAAGCCCAAACTGGGCTGTCCTGCAGCAGCTGGGTGCTGGGAAGGAGACCCTTGGGACTGGGACAGGTCCCCCTGGGCTGGGTTTGATCACCAGGAATGGGATGGGATCCCAGGGCTGGGATGGATCCTTCAGGAGCTGAGGCAGCAGGGGCATGACATGTTCAAAGCTTTTTCCGTGCACCTGAAGGAAAAAGGATGAGTTGGGATTTTTTTCTCCACAATCTTCCTCATTTCTGTCCTGGGGGTTTGGAGCTGTGGCTCTGCTGGGGTTCCTGCCCTCCCCTGCCCACTCTGCTTCGCTCCTGCTCCCCACCCAAGCTCCTTCGGATGCTGGCGGTGCCATAGGAGCCACTTCCAGAGAAAAATTCTCATTTTGGAGCCTCTGGGTCCAAGTCCCAGAGGCACCTGGAGTGCTGAGCATCTCTGATCCGCAGGGATCCAGGGATCCCAGTTAGTGACAGCCCCAGTTAGTGACAGCCCCAGTTAGCAGGGGTCCCAGTGGGATCCCAGTGAGGTCCAGTGGGGTTCTGAGAAGGTCCCAGTAGGATTCCAGTTGGGTCCCAGTTGGGTCCCAGCTGGGTCCCAGTGGGGTCCCAGTGGAGCCGTTCCCTCAGTGACCGCCAGAGGGCGACCCCAGACCGCGCTGGGCCCCGGCGGCGCCGGGAGGGGACAGAGGGATGGGGACATGGAAATGGGACAGCGGGATTTGGGACATGGAAATGGGATAGAGGGATGGGGACATGGAAATGGGATAGAGGGATTTGGGATAGAGGGATGGGGACATGGAAATGGGACAGAGGGATTTGGGACATGGAAATGGGATAGAGG